TTCTTAATAATAAAAAGAAAATGTTATTGCGGAATCAAGCAGGTTCGGCTCGAAGCTGATTTGCAGTCTTGGCTAGAAACATCTGATGGGAAGCGCTTTACATTATTACTACCACATTGAAAGTTAACCTTATTCAAAATTATATTAAGAAACAAGATAGTTTGTTCCTTTTATCGATATAAACTATAACATATGATCAAACTTTCTGCATTTTAATAAGGCTCTAATAACATTCTGTGTGTCACCATTAAACATACTGCAAATATTATTTTATAATGATTCCTATTACCTTCTTGTGGGGCATTGTCTTTGGCATTGGATAATAAGAGAATCACACAATCAACTCGCCAGTAAAGACACTTACGCTCAATGCAATTCAAATAAATTAGAATCTATTAAATGCAAAGATATAAAATCCTTTGGCCAACAAAATAAAAAAGGGACAACGACAACATGAGCCAATTGATTCGAGTTACTTAACCCTAAACAAAAATTCAAATGGGCAAGAGCCAAGCGAACGAACAACAACAACAAGAACAAAAACAACTTCAATAAACAACAAGCGTAACAACAACAACCCGCTAGAGTACTTTGAAGTGTTAGAAAGAAGAAACAAATAAATAAATAAATAAATTGTTGGACGGAGCTGAAACTGCCGGAAAAACAGAACAAGTTTTGTGCGCGAAATTCAATTGAATTTGTATGTATTTTGAATGCCACAGATACAAGATACATTTGCCAATATGAGAGACTCATTCATGTTGTTATTGTTGTTGCCGCTGACTGGCTACTTAAACTTCCTGCGGAAGCTAAAACTACAATAGCAGCAACAACAACAGCAGCAACAACGAAAGTAACAACAACAGGCAAAGCGACGCGTCGCAGCGACGTCGCTGCCAACGTTGAAAGGCTTTTACTTTGGTTAGCTCGCTTCCCTCTGGTTGTTATTCTTGTTGGTGTTGTATTTATTGTTGCTGCTATTGTTAAATGCAACATCATCATTAAGCGCATAACAATAGCCATCACACACACACACACAATCACGCACACACTCACACACTGCATACGCACATAGCGCTCTCTATGTACTCGTATTTAGAAGAGGCAGCGCACAAAATGGGCGTGCGATATGCTGCTGCTGCTGGTGCTTAACGTTGCCGCGCTATAAAATTTCCCTTAGCACCGTTATCCTGCCGCTGGGCAACTTGGGAAATTTCCCAACAGCAGCGCGCAAGTGCGCCATGCATGCTAGCTATCTTGCTCGCGCCGCACTACGATTGGCCAGAGGCAACACAGTGACGCGCCCACTTTTGCAGTGCCATGAACAGCAGCAGCGGCGGCAGCAGCGGCGGCAGCAGCAGCGGCGCAACAGCAACAGCGACGCCGACGGCATTACACGTAATTTCCCCAGGCGTGTGTTCTGTGTGTGTTTTGTTTTTGGATGAGGTGTGCGCGTGTTTTCCCATTTTCATTTGTAATCCGAGCCATGAACGGCCATAGAGTGCCAGTGGCCTCTCATGTGCCATGCACATAAATGTGGATCTGCTTATGTATACATATACATTTATATATATGTATTCATCTATATATATATTATTATCCAGAATGGGGGCCCTTCATGCACGCCATGTCTGCCATGTTATTTTTTCAATTGCTAAAACTTTTCGCCCTGCACGCGTCCTCTTGGCATTGTTCAAGTTAGCTAATGGTCGTTTTGATTATGTTCCTTTCATCAGCAGACCCTACATTGGCTACCCTACCACCCCCACCCCAAATAGCCACCTACACAATTGGGTGTGTTCTCCAATATTAGACAAGCGTCAGCTCCACATGTGTGTGCGTGTGTGTGTATATGTGACTACATATATGCATGGAGTTGTTGTGCAGAGCCTGAGCTAATCATGGGTTTACTTATGAAATCGAATTTCAAATGTGCCGGCTGTGCCCTCAAGTGCTTGGCAAGTCCTCACGACAATATTGAACAACCAGTTCAATGAATTAATACTCAACCCTTACTAATATTGAAGATACTAACATATAATATACACAATTTAGAATATAATTAAAAGTAATCAATAATTATAGTAATAATTTGAATAATACTAAACAAATAAATATTAAAACTTAAAAACATTTAAATTAAAAACAGGTTTTCCCAGATGAAAATATATAACACACAAATTAAATACCATAGAAAAAGGAATTGCTTTGAGTCGCAATTTAGAAATTCTTACTCAATTTATCTTCGGTTATCTTCGGCACACCGAAAATATAATACACTTGTATACATTTTCTTTACGGCCTTACAGATATGTCTTCATATCTTAAAATACAAATATCGTTTTCTTACAAAAACTTAATTTTCGACCGAAATATCCCCAGGTAGCTATATGATATAGTGGTCTGATCTTGATAGGATTTTGTACATATGTAAAGAGCATAGTTCAACTAAGATATGCCGGGTTTGGTAAGGATATCTTGATAAATATAAATGTTTTTCATACAAGAATTTAACTTTCGACCGATTGTTCCTATGTCAGCTATGTGATATAGAAGGTTAAATCTGGCCGGTTGCGACATATATCCGCTTGTAATAGAAAGAGAAACGAATGCAAAATTTTAAGATAATAGCTTTAAGACTGAGGGAATAGTTCGCATAAAATATAATAATTACGTATACCTCAATATAATACATTCCCTATGCAACTTACCGTCTATATAAGCTCATCTATATAATTAAGGTGATAAATAATTAAACTGTTTGTTGAGCAAAATAAAAAGAAAAATACACTGAAGGAAAAACAAAAACATTGTTCTCAATTTAAGAAAATGTGTTACTCTGTTAAGAACTTTATTAGCGTATATCATGTATCCAGATTCTTAAAGTAAGAGGTTAAGTTTAAATTTAAGTATTTGCCTAACATTTTAAGAACAAAACGTTTTGATTTTTGAACCCCATTTGATTGAAGATAACACGTGATCCTTAGTGAGATTTTCTTAAAAAATAAAACTTCCCGTTTAGATTCGTTGACTTTCAGATACCATATGCCAAATTTGGTGTCTGTAGGTCTTAGAGCTTATGTGATTGGTCCGTTTCAGCTAGGGCTATACAAATTCAACTACTATGGCTAAATAAAATGTATATTTTATATTAGTCGATGTTATCAGGGATAACCTACAAAAATTTCCGTTTGAAAATACCCTTTTATCGATTAATAATCGGTATAGGTTGTATGTAATTCGATATATATAAAAATATTTTGGCATATTTTAAAAACAGTTAAATTAAGAATCTGTAAGTATTGAAGACATATAACGGTAATTTATTTATTATATTAAAAATTTTCATTTCCATTTTCAATTGGAAGTAATTGAATTCGTGAACTTCGTCAAATATATTGATGATTATTGTATGAAATTTACAAAAATATACATTGAGCCTTATAAGAAGTCAGGATAGCTTTGCCCAATCCCAGCGAGCTTTGATTATTACTTATTTAAAGCTAGAAAGACCTTAGCAAATGAGTGCATAAAAAGTTCTGTTTAGATACTTATTAATCGACGAATGAGCTCGAAACAGAGCTTAAAGAGCAAACTCTTTAATGAGATGCCAAATGAGGCTAATATCGCACAAATGGGATCCCGTTACCGCCAGGACAATTGATGGCTCATGCACACGCATACATAAGTAGCCGCCAGGGCTAGGAGCTGGTCACTGGAGAGACGATAATGATAAATACAATATAATGACACGGCAATTGTTGACAACATCAAGTGCTGGACCGGGCAGAAGTCGACTCAGCTAGCCAGTCGGCCCGTCAGCCCGTCAACCCATCAACCCAGCTGAGCGCCGTGCCCATGAATGAAAGAGGTCCAGAGCAGAACGTTTGAATATGTTGGGATGCGGCGACTTGTCTGACTGGCTGGCAGCCTCTGCCGATACTCGAGCGGTACAATGGCAGCTCTCCACACACACACAGACACACACACACACACACACACACACACACACACGTGTATATAGAGAGGCGGCTCAAGTGGGCACTCGTCGGCTGGCAGTTGTGAGCGGGTGCAAGCGAGATGGCAGGCTTGCACACGCCTAGGCTGGCCTTGTTTGGCGCAAGGATGTGCGTTGGACAACAAATGGTGGTGGTTGTTGCTGTTGCTTTTGCTGGTGGTTGAATGAGCCACTCACATAGTTGCTGCTGCTGCTGCTGCCGACGTAGTATCCTTGTTGAAAAGGACATGAGAAGCCACTTAGTGAAAATGCGACGAACGCGCCGCGGCTAAACAAGAGCCAGAGAGACTCTCTATGGCGGTGTGCATGTGTGTGTTTGTGTGTGTGTGAGGCTATATACCCAATGGTGGATGGATGCACCATATACAACACTTACATCCATGTATGTATGTGTGTGTGTGAGTGTGTCTGTGTGCAGAGTAGTTTTTGGTACTTTTGCGCCGTTGGCTGCTTGGACTCGTGTCGAGTTCTTGATGTCTCGTTAGTTGTTGATGACACTTCAGTTTGGAATGTTTAGAGTGCGGCTGACAACGCAACCCGAGCACGAGTCGACAACGAGATTGAAATCAAAAACTGAAGCTGAAGCTGGATCTGTGGCCAAAATCCAAATCAAGACTCTTAACGTAATCGCTGTCGCGTTATTGAATCGCATCGCATCCGCGTCAAGTGAATTGCATTCCAAATTATTATGATAACAGGCAGCACAGTCAAAGCTCTTGCCAAGTGTTAGATAGTGTTGCGGTGCAGCAGAGAGTGTTGTACAATACGATCCTTTTGGATTTGTGTTTGTTATTGTTGTTTTTTTTGCACGTGTGACACTTGTGATTTGAACGGCCGCAAAGTGGCGGAGAAACGCAAAGGTACGCCGTCGCCAACGCCGCCGCCCGCGCAGCAGCGACGAAAATCGGGCAACGCGACGCCACCGGCAACACATCCGATAGCCATACCGGCTCCCAAAACGACGCCCACAACGGCTACGGACATGACCACCACGCACAGCCAGCCGGCGTTGGAGCGCACGCCGTCCAAGCACAAGGAGCGCGAGCGGGAACGGGAACGAGAGCGTGAGCGGACGGAGACAACCAACAGCAGCGGCAATAGCAGCGGCCTGGGCAGTGCTGGCAGCCTGCCTGCCTCGCCGCAGAGTGCGGCCACAGTTAGTCCTGGCACGCCCACAACGCCCAAGCGACCGCTGCGCACATCGACGCCCTCGGTGGAGCAGCGGGCATCCAAAATCATAAGCACCGCCAGCACCACGGTGCCCACAACAACGCCAACGAGTGGCGCCAACTTGGCGGCCGCCGAGCAGCTGCGCATCCCAACGGGCGCGGCGGCATTCAGCGGCTTCCCCGGGCTGCACAGCATGAGCAGTCTAATGGTGCCCTCGTCGGCGGCGGTCGCGGCCGCTGCGGCTGCACCTTTCCTGCCCTGGTCGCCCATACTGCTGCCCCCTTGGAGCCATGCTCTGCTGCCCGCCGCATTTTATCCGGCGGCTCTGCGCAACGCTTTGCCCGGGTAAGCAAAATTGATAAAACGCGCTAACCGCAATCCCCGATGCCCGGATTAGAGATCTTGCCCTATCTCTCTCTCTCCCTTCCTCTGTATTTCTACCTCTTTCTAACGCTTTCACACGCAAAGCTCGCCTGGCACTTGTGCGAATTTCGAAAATTGCGAAAGTTGCGAATAGCGAAAATGGTGGCTACGTTTGGGATTTTCCCACGGTGAACATTTTTCAAGTGGGTTTTTTAGTTAGTAATAAAATAATAAACGCATAGTAGGAATATTTAAGCTACCACTACAGGAAACCTCCTGTTTTCCTGAGAAAATTTGAAGAGAAACTGTTGGCTCTAATCAAATATTAGTTTTCCTACACAGCTTAGGGCATAAAACATTAATCAGTCCTGTACTTCATATATTTATATATTGCATATATACATTCAGACAACTGAAAAAATGCTTGGGTTCGGATCTCCGACTTTTGTTAGATTTATGCTTTACGATTAACCAAACCTTTAACCAACAACAGCCATGTTTGTGCAGTTTGTGCAAGCTGCAAGTCGAACCTGTGGTAATTTGTTTCGGTCTGTAAGCCTATGAGCAGTAGATTAATCAGCATACGTAATTATAATGATAACAATATGTATATTTGTATTATATACTAATTAACTTAGTTACGTATTCGAGCGTGTGCGTAACGTACATGAGCTTTATGCAATACATTTATATCTGTTAAAAAAAAAAATAGATTCGCGGTAAAAACAATCCTCGAATATTTGTGATTAAGACCAACAGCATCCCATCATATTTTGCTCAACTTTGCTAAAAGAATAATGGCAAATGCTGGGAATATTAAAAGAATCCTTTTAGCCTTGTAATTTAAGGGTATAGTTTTTTAGGGCACTTGCAGCACCCTCTTCACCGTCGTGGCCCGTGACAGTGTTATTTTAGGCCTCGTTCAGCTAATGAACTTTGCCCTCTAAGCCAGCCAGCCATCAACTGTAACGAGCTATGCCACTGAGCCGGCAATCCAATCAAGGCACTTACTCCCTAAACATTGTGCGGGGCACTTGCCCCGCGCAAAGCCTGCTGAAGCAAATTACCCAAATCCTGCAGCAGCCTTAAGATGTGACAGTGACCACACGTAATTCCCCCAGAGAAGATCCGCAGATTTGCTGGGCTGGTGCATGCTCAAATGTGCTCAAGGTCCTGTAATTGTGTGCAGCGCTGTTGTCCGACATTGATTGGCGATCGCAGCTCAAGTGGCAAAAGACGCAAAAGACGTCGATCTGTTTGGCCTGGCTGGCTTAGAAATTCCCATAGGTGAGTTGCAGGGAAACCCCAACCTGGCAACATGTGTGCAGCAGACGACAGCAACAGCAACAGTAACAGCAACAGCAGCGGCGACGTAGACGGCGTCACACTGTCTGGTCGAAGGCCGGTCGGAGTGCAAAGGGAATTCCGCTCAGACATGCGGGGAATGCCCCGCGTCCTGATGGACCTGAGCGCGTGGGAATTTCGCGCGCACAATTTGGGAAAACTCAGCGTGGAAAAACCGGAAGCAAGAGCGCTTTTTACTTGCGCCAACATGTGGCCGAAAAATGGTTAGGCCTGACCAAAGAGACCCGCGCCCGATCGCCCAGGTAGTGCAGCGGTGCACCAAAAGCGGATTTGAGTTTAATTGTTGATGGTATTAGTGGAAAATCAAATTTGCATTAGCCCTAGCTAAGCCCAAAACTAAAACTGAAACTGAAACTGAACTCAAACTGGGTTTTCAACTGTGACTGGGGTTTTGCTTTTGCAACTGGGACTAGGTGTCAATAATCCAGCGATTTGGCTGGCACTTAATCAAAGTTAATTCCGAGCAAGTGTGAAAAATCTAAACCCAAGTCGCAGCCCGATGCAATTTTCGTCAAAGTCAGTGCGTCAGGTACTTGCTGCTTGGTCAGGTAGAAATTTAGACCCGAACTGCAGTGTGCGTCTATTGTGTTGCTTTCCGGCCATTTCATTCATGACACGACACCGGATGTCGGATGTAGGACGTACAACGATGTGCAGCAAGTGTGTGTGTGTGTGTGTGTGTGTGTTGGAAGTGGTGAATCGACAATTAAAACTGTGCTCTTGTCTACTTGCAGCCTCTTTGATGCCAAGGTGCCGTCCTCGCAGCGTTCCGGCTTTCATATATCCGACATACTCAATTTGGATGGCTCCGAGCTGAAGAGCGCTGCAGCGGCAGCGGCAGCGGCGGCGCATCATACCCACAGCCATAGCGCGGAACTGGGCTCGGAGTCCAGCAATGGGCATGGTCATCCAGCGCCAGCAACACTGTCGCCGACGCCCAGCTCAGTACTGCCGCCGCCACCGCCGCCCAGCAGCGGGGATGAGCATGTAGCACCCGCGGCCCATGGTGATCATCAAACCACGGAGCACAGTGCGCAGTCGGCGCACCATCAGCAGCAGCAACACCTCCACCTTCACCAGCAACAGCAGCAACAACATCATCATCCGCATCTGCACCATCAGCCGCATCAGCCCGTTGCCCCGCTGCACTTGCCCCATCATCAGAGCGCTGGCGGCGCTCAGCCGCCCATGCCCCATATGGGCGCCCATGCCCATGCCGCTTCAGCGCAGGCCGCTGCCCATCTGCTGGCCAGTCACAATGCAGCGGCCGCTGCGGCGGTTGCCGCCGGCCAATATCTGCCGAAGAACTTTGCCGGCAACTTCGGCGACGAAATGTCCTCATACCATCACATGGCCCAAACAATGCTCTCCCACTCGGGTCGCAGTGCATGGATCAAGGAGAACGAAATATATGGTAAGTGTTCATACACAAATCGTAGGTATTTCATAAGCCTTAAATGCTTGCATAAGCCAAAGATTTTTTTGATTGAAACCAAATATAGCTTTAAAGAAATGAAAAGAATCCCTCAGTCAATATCTAATCATTTTTATACTGATTTGATTATTCGTTTATAATTTGTAAACGTTTTCTAATATCGTTCAGAAAAAAACATTTTTAATGCGAAAATATAGATATTCTAAAATCTTTCTGTTTATTAAAATCTATTGCAAATGTTGAGTTTGAAAATATGGCTATTAAATATTCTTAGTAAAAGCTTAAACGCATGTTAATACTTAACTGCCTCTAAGTTGTCAAGCTTCTGGGCCTAATTTAATTTTGCTACATGCATGTAAAACGTTTCTCGTAAAGTCAAGCTGCAGCTACTGGAATTATTTTAGCTGGGGAACCGGGAACGCGCAGGGATATGGAATTTTAAGAGCGAACGCCTAATAATATTGTTCAATAATTGCCTCACAAAAGGCAGCTGTGTTTGCATATCTACGGGCGACGTCAGTCAGTGGGAACCACTCGCCGAGGGCTCGATGAGCACTAACCCTTGGCTATGGCCATATGCCACGCCCCGTTCGGCAGACGCTATGTATTGTGGTGCAGTGTAGTGTTAGATGCGATATGTGTCGATTCAGGTGCTTGAAACGCGAAGTGCCCGCGGTCGGAACCACCCCTTTGGTCGCTTACGAGTACATACCCTAGAAACTGTGGCCCAACATAATCTTGACTAATAGTTTGTATGCGCTTCACACTTGAGGATTAATTTTGTTATTTTATTTTTTTCGCTTTTTGTTTTTTCTTTTTCGTTTTTTTTTTTTTATTTGGTACCATGTCGCTGTCGTATTCCCCCCTTCATTGTTGTCGCGGACACAACATTGTTCAGTCATTCCTTTCATATAAGCCTGGAAATTTATGGCACGCACTTCCGCTTCGTCCTTTTTTCGCTTTTGCACGGCCTTTCCTTGTTTTATTATTCCAATTTTTTCTTTTAGTCTTTTTGTTGATATGGTGCTCAGCTACAAATTATAATTGTTGCCTGATTGCCGTTCTTTTTTTTTTGGGAAATTTCACAGCTGTAAGTCGAGTCGTTTTGATTATATTAAGTTATTAATTTGTTGAGTTGTCATGGTGAAGACGATTCTAGTGCAGGACTCAAACTGGACTGGGACTGGCTTACATTGGTCTGGACTGGGACATGGACTGAGTCTAAGTTCAATTTAGTCAACTATGAATGAATGCGAATCATTAAATTCAGCCTTGCATGCATGTAATAAGTGTACTATGAAATATTCTACATAGATCACACCCAAATAAAAAACAAAACAAAGGAAAAACATATTAAACAGCTTGAATGCCCATGTGCGATAAATCAAAGTAACTATATCCCGATAGCAAAAAAAAAAAGTGGGCGTACGCAGCATTGGCAAACCGACCGAGAGTCGGGTAAAACGGCAAAAACGGAAGAAAGGGAGCCGGATGCAGGCAGAGGGACACAGAAGTCAGGGGCAGGGCGGCCATTAGAAGGCAGCTCTGTTTGAGGTTTGGCTTTTGTGTCGCATCCCATTGTCTCCCAGTTGGTTGCCCAGTTTCAAACCTTAATGTATTTTCATTAGCATTTGGTTGTGTATTCTCTCTCAAAACGGCAAACAATGACAGCAGCAAAAAAGATCGCACACATACACGCTACACGCTAAAGGCAACACCTCGAAGGTCAGAAGGCAGCCGAGCAATTGCCCAAAAGGTGTAACTCCGCAGGGTTGCCCCGCAGGGCAGGGAATGCAAACGCAGCCAGGTAGCACCCGACGATCGATCGAGCCTTGTCAATGGCCCGGTCCTCTAATTGACGTTATTAGTTGGGCTCGCTGCGGTGTGGCTCGAGGAGGGTAGCTCGCATCTGGCCACCACGATCTCTGCCCCGCGCCGCCTATCTGCAGGGCATAATCCAATTGTACGAGTCGTTGGCGGCTGTATCTGTTTACCCACTGACTATTCATTTAGCACCGCTGCCAATTTCTGCCTGTTCATGCTGATTGGGGTATGTCTGCCACTCTGTGCTTGGCTGTGTGTGTGAATTAATTTTTCGAAATTGTTGACAAATTGACTCTGTGACTAAACTGAGCAATAAAAGTGCGCGAAGATCGCAACGAACGAAATCTTGATCTTCTTAATGAAAATTGAATGTAGTTTAAGAAATTTCAAGTTATGTGTAACATAAATCAGTTAGTTTTTGTTGAGTGCTAGGATATTCTTTATTCAGGAGCCTTGATATTTGCAGCTTGATACTGCATCATATACATTCGGTATACGATAATTGATATGAATTTTTATTAGTTAATAATAAACTGTATTTTGCTCTTGTTGGTTGCTTACTGCGCTTAATTAGTTGTCTTTATTTCGCCCAAGCCCTTAGTAACCTCTCGCTCGCTTTCCGCTTTTCTTTCTCTGCAGGCACTCAGCAGCCGGCCAGCCCGGACAGCACCTCGCCCGTCACGTCGGAGGTCTCCTACACTTACATAGGCTCCAATTGCCAAACGTCGCCGGCTCTCTCCGGCGACTACAAGAGCTACAGCCGTTCAGCTGACAGCGATGCGCTCTCCGTAGGCGATGCGCTACACACGTTGCATGCTGGCGGTGCAGCCGGTGTCAGCTCAGCGGCGCATGCGTTGCATAACAACAACAATAATAATAACAATAATAATAATAATAATAACAACAACAACAATAGCCTGAAGCATGACGCAGGTGCCGGCAGCGGCAGCGCCCATGACGACAGCCTGAACGAGGATGGCATCGAAGAGGACATCGATGATGTGGACGATGCGGATGGCAGCGGCGGCGGCGGCGTCAACGCCGACGGCATGCCCAACAAGAAGCGCAAACGGCGCGTTCTCTTCACCAAGGCGCAAACATACGAGCTGGAGAGGCGTTTCCGGCAGCAGCGGTATCTAAGCGCACCGGAGCGCGAACACTTGGCCAGTTTGATAAGGCTGACGCCGACTCAGGTGAAGATCTGGTTCCAGAATCATCGCTACAAGACCAAGCGGGCACAGAACGAGAAGGGCTATGAGCATCCGGGCCTGCTGCATGGGCATGCCACACATCCGCATCATCCGTCTGCGCTGCCGTCGCCACGACGCGTCGCCGTACCCGTGCTGGTGCGCAATGGCAAGCCGTGTCTGGGCGATGGCTCCAAGCTGACGCAGGATTGTGTAAGCACTGCCACCGCGATGCAGAATGCCGCCGCACATCATCTGGTGGCGCTGAACGGTGCCGCCGCCTATCAGCATGCGGCGGCTGCCGCAGCGGCTGGTCTCCACGCCCATGCCCATGCCCACGCCCATCCGCATGCGCAGCGCGCCGCCTGGTGGCCCTAATATTGCTAGCTGCCTAGATTCGAGTTGGCCGAGCCGGGTGGGAGCGGCCAAATGACTGGTAACTCGAATACTGGACAATAAACTCGCTGTCAAAGTCGCAGCTGTGTGACACTGCCACAAATTGTGGCACATTTCGGTTGGGAATTCGAACAAACAAACAAAATTGGTGCAATAATATATAACAATGGGTCGACAACAAGCAATTGACGCACTCTCCTCTACTCCAACTCTCCGTCTCCCGTCTCAAAAAATAAAATTTAGAAAAAGCAAAAAAAAAAAAAAAACAAGCGGAAGGCGTCAGCTGCCACAAGCTTGTGGCAAGGCCAAGCCGGGAGCAGCAAGTGCTCAACTTGAAGAAATCTTCGCCAAGCAAAAGTTGTTGTTGCATGTTGCATGTTGCATGTGCAACAATGTCAACAACATATATCATTCGTGTAATAAATCGCTATAAATACAAATACATTTTTTTCCTGCAGCTCTAAGGCTGCGGGCCATTTAGCCATAAGTTTTTTTTTTTACCTTTTTTTTTAACAAAAGTCGTTAATACCTATAAAATACTAGATATAGAGACAAGTTTTTTTTTTCGCCTAGACCTAAATAAATTAAATCTTATTTTTATTCAAATATAAAATATACAACAATTTATAAAATCGTTTTGTACATACTGAAAAGAAGGAAATAAATTCATGAAAATGACATTAAAACAATATTTCAAATATCAATGCAGATAATACAACAAATAATCATGTACATATTTTTTAACAATAAAAAACTAGTGTCCAATTTGTAGGCATATTTACATTTGTTTATACACAATAAATACATATTTACATACATGCGAAGTCGTAACTGTTAATGTAAAAATTATAATTATAAAATCACAAAATAATCAACTCTTTTTTTTTTTTGTATAGTGCATAAATTAATAAAAACAAACTCTTTGAATTTATAGCGCGTAATGAGTTCATAAATGTTAACACACACACACACACAGAATAAAACTTAACAAATGTATTTGTAATATAAGGAAAAAATAAAAAATTCAAAACAATATTAATAGAATGCGTTAAAGAAAATGTTCTAAAAAGAGAAGTATTTCTCGTCAATTCGGTCGGAAAACTTGTAACGCCTTGAAGAAAACAATATTCGAAACCACAAAATCTGAGTCATTATCTGTACTTATATATATTGTTAATCAGAAAGAGGAGGCCAGTCTCTATAACATGTTGAAATTTGTAGACTTGACTTTCTTTTGATTCCAGCTTATGCTATGTTGGCATTGACGTGGACGCACCGCTGTGTGTTTTTATAAACTTCCTGCTAAGCTACATATATAATTCATATTTTATAGCTGGGATCAATGAACTAACTTACCCAACCCAACTAACCTATACAATTCAAGCCAACTCCCTGCCCGACGGTTTCCTTCGTTAACCCGGTTTTACTCATCCCATTCCTTAGTCCAAGCCTTTGTCATATAATTTGATAAGTTTCGTTTAACAATTCAATTTTTAATTTATAGCTGCCCGTTCTACTGAAAACATTGCGATGCCATATATATTTTCATATAGAAGTTGCGGGCTAAATTTGATATATAACCCAAAATTGGCATCTATCAAATATGGTCAGATTACTCCAATGCTTGGGAACGAAGTTAGTTTAATTTTAAGCTATTTGCATCAAAGTCATTTTTCAAAATAAAATATTCTTCGAACAGGTATATTGGACAGGTATTTCTCGATCGATACATATATATATATAAGAATATAGGCACATATATTTTTATTTATCGCGTTTTACTTTATTCACCTTTATTTAGACCACATTAGTTAAGATCACATAAGTATATTGTTATATAGGATAGAGCTGCAGGGGCATTGAGGCGTTGACAAGCTGCAGATAGCGGTTCAAAGAGTTGAGCCTCCCCACGAGGTGTCAGGTGCGAGCACCTGGTAAAAATATTAAGCAGCTCATAAATACAACTTGTGATTATGGCTTTTAGCTACCGTTTAGGTCTGCAGCCCGGCGATTGGGATCGTAATCCATTAATGATTATACGAATTGTACTACCAGCACTCATAATACCCGCCGTACGTTCAGGGGCCGCTTGGACTTTGGAAATGCTGCCTCGCGATAAGCCCGCCCCGGCCCAGACGATGCATTCAATGCGAATGGGGCACGGTATGGCACTATAATTGCCCGGTTGCTACATATTGACTTTATGGTATGGCCATCAATAGCTAATTTAGTGGGTGGCCATAATATGCAGTCAGTCACAAAGGCAGCTAAACTACATGGCAAGTAAGTGTGGTATAATGAGCTTGTACCGGGGCATGTCTGCGCTGAATGACCAGATTATTGCGAACAAGTAGCATTTACAATATACATTGTCAATACAACGAAATCAAGCCGCATCAATAGAGACAATCAGCAATCATGGGATACGGCCCGAGGCCCTCTTAACTCTCTACTCCATGTGAGGGCACATAATTTGCGCAAATAAAGAACTCGAACTCAAGTAGATGTTTTGGAGTATCTCATAAAATAAACAAGTGCTATTCGAATAAACTACAAATTAAATTACTCATCAATGAGCACTGAAAACACTCAAGAGCCACGAAACAAAACATTGAATACACACATACCTCCACATACATTCGTATGAATGTCACTATTGGCTTCTGAGTTTCTCATTTGTCATCTGAATACAAGGGGCCACATTGCATGCAGGTGCAGTCGACTGCGCAATACTCTGTCCACAGTTTTGCATTCAGTCGAAACGAGTCTTGTCGACAACTCTTTAACTGAAAGCCATAGGCAGAGACTTTTCAACTGTGGCCATTGGAAGTATCTCCATTTAGTCGTCTACCTGGTGGTCTGCCCAACCACCAGTTACATGAGTACTTAAACTTTCTCTAAATAACAGTTTTGTGGTTTGTCGTTGCCAATATGCTTAGGGAAAGGGTATACGCAACTTAACAATAACCATTGCGAGTATTAATAAACATCGAGTGCCTGGTCATATATTTTGCGCAGCAACAATAACAACAACAATAGCAACATTTTTACACTGGCCATAAACTCGGCGATTACTGAAGTACCATAAATATTATATACTATTTTTATGATTTCTTTATTCATTCTTTTTTATTTAGATTTATCTAACGACAGCCAGTTCCAGCAGACTACATTTGTAAACTCATTCGAATTTTTGAATAAATATCAAAATAAAATACAATTAATTTAATACAAAGACTAATTACATTTGCATAGTTTATTTTTTATGTTATTTTGTGGTAAATAGTAAATCAATATAATATCCAGTTTTGCTAAAAGATTATATTAAATAGTTTATATTAAAATAATGTTTAGTATGTATAAAAGTACGTGTATTAAATAGTTTATATTAAAATAATGTATAGTATATGTATATAAAAGTACGTGTTAGCTTGTAGATTTATATTTTCAGATCCGAGTGGCCCCATAAAAATACCACCTCAGGTAATTGGCTTATAAATTTGGGTTGTTAAAAATCGTAAATTCCACCCCCCCGTTCCGGGGCCATTAAGTTTATTTGCATAAAGTTTTGGCTATCGCACAGGATGTTGATTATTCGCGCCATTCAGTGCCAAAGATCTAGATTAGACGTAATAGCTGCTCAAGACTGATATTGCCCGGCAGCGGCTGTTGAAGTTAACACAATAATAAACTTTTTGTTATTATTGTTAATATTATTTTTTATTGTTGTTGGCCGCTTTACTTTCAGATAAGCCGTGTTCGAACAGCTCCCGCAAGGTGCAAACTGGTCGCCAATCGGCGTCAACCTGATTGCCACTATTTCTTTTTGTGTGTGTTTGTGTGTGTGTGTGTGTGTGAGTGTCCGGCCGTATCAGCGACATGTCTTGCGCGACCGGACAGCTTGGCCAGCGATCGCGTCACAAACATCGATACATTGCTAGGCATGCGTGGACGTCATGTCGAGTGCAAACGTGCGAGCTTATCAATTCGAGAACGCCAGCAACGATGGGGTAAGCGCTTGATGGATGCGGTGCCAGGCTGTAGATAGAGCTGGCCCACAATCTGTATTTAAATTGTGTACACAGCCAAGATATTGCGTGCACTAAATAGTTATAAATTTACCAATATTTCTGAATATACCTGAAAGTCATTGTTTACTCCGACAATCACTTCACCTCCTTCGTGTATCTACATATCTATATATTTTAGATTAAATTGTTTTAAATCGAAGAACTAAGCAAAATTCACAGTTGGGACAGCAAACGCCTTTGATATTTCAATGCCATTTATGAATATTAGAATAATATTAATCAATATTTGCTTAGATCCAGAGAAACTTATGATCTTTAGATATCTAGACCATAAGCTGAGGCATACAAAGAAATATAAAATCTAGCAATATTATCCTCCTCTTCGCTTTGCCCCCACAGAATTCTGGTTTTGTGTAAATGCAAATGGCGGAAGACTTGAAAATTGAATAATAAAAATATATTTCCGCATGTGTTTTGCACAATCTTTAAGGGGAAATGCGAATGCCTTATACGTCAAATACTAGTCGGACACTCTTAACTAGAGCACAATTACGTGCTTCATATTTTATATATTATAATTTATCTCTATTCGGTTTTAATTTATTTTCACCTGTCTGTCAATGCCCATTGTGGGTTCATTGTCACTTTAATCTTGAGAATTCAATGATATTTGTATTCTTTTTCTTGTACTCATTTGTCATTGATATTCAATATGATCCATGCTGCAGCATGCTCTTGCCATGCTTCCTTTTCAGTTGCCACGTATTTACAATTTTATTCAGAAGATACATTTTCTGCATTATACCAAGTCTTTTTTGAACAATGAAAACTCTCTTGAAAGGACAACGAACTGACGGGTAATTGTACACCCAAGAATGGTGTCCGCCTAATAGAAGCGTCCGTTATGACTGTTTTTGCGGTAGTTACATTAAAATTAGTATGTATTTAATTCGCTTAAGTCTCTTGATTTTGTTCTATCCTGAAATATGTTTTCTTTTTCATGTTTTAGCACACACGGCAGCATGGCCTGGACTCATCTCAAGTTGGCAAATACTTAGCAGAGACTAGTAATTGGGTAATGAGAACAAGGTAAGGTCAGCGAATGTACAACAAGAACAACAGCAACAATAACAACAACAACAATAGAAGCAGCACTTCAAGCCACGCTGAGCAGCCCGAAGCACTTGTCAACAAGTCCCAAGAACAAGGAGTACGTAGAATGCCATGTGAGTCGAACGCCACTTACAATGCTTAATCAGCTCCGATTTCTGTCGATATAATGAATGTTGTTGTTCTTTATTTTTATTTGATTTTATTTATTTTTTGTATTTTTTGCTCTTGTTGTTCAAATTTGGCATTGATAAGGCTGGCAGACAGTGCCAGACAACGACCACGACAACGACATATATTCGAATGTGGGCAGTTTGTAATGAAAAGTTAATTAACGCAAAATAATACTACGATATACACACACGCACAGACAGACATATATAAGTATATACGTATACATACACGGCGAACTGATCGAATAAATAAATTTATCAC